TTGATTCTTGTTCCTGCATGCATTGTAGACATTGGCCCAAGTCTGGTCGGTGTTATTGGCGGCAGTATAGTTGAAGAATACGGGTACAGCAACCCTCTCGTAGGCTTTAGCAGGAAGAACGTAGGACCCTAGATCCCCGGTAGCGATCAATTGTTGGGTATCCAGGTCTGCGACCTCGGCTCTGAGGTGCTTAAAGCGTAATGGAAGGAAATTCTCTCCCGTGTTGATATGCACATCCAAAGTAGCGTTGAATTGGAATAAGACAGGAAGTCCCGAGCTAAACTTGGGTTCGTCGTCCTCGTAGGGAGAAGGACCCAACGGCGTATCCTTGTTATAGATGATTCCCGGGGCGCGCGGGATGGTAAAGGCCAGTATGATACCGGTTCTATAAAATTAATTATCAGCCTATCTGATTAGAGCGTCCACCGTTGACATCATCACTCACATGATGCATGCGATAAAGACAGTCCAGACAATCGCTCGTCTGGTACCCCATCCGCCACAAAGACCATACTGATCTCTCCACCAAGCCTTCAATCTTTCATTTCGTGTGTATTCCTGCTCTTCTTTCCGACCCTTTTTCGTCATGGCCTTGAGCTCGTCCGCCTTCCATTCCGCTCCCAATGCCGGAACAGTTACCAGTTCGACACCATTTTCCAAATCACGGCCATTACTAGTAGCACCAGATGGGACGGGCCTCGATGAAGCGGCAGCAGGTGAAGGAATCGATTGGTAACTACAGTTTTTTTTGTGACAAAGGGTTTTATTTCGTTAGCGATGAAGCAAAACCTCGCGCCGCTTTGGCGAAATGTGAGGGTAACGCACCCGTCAGGCGTAGTTTTTACAGCGCTATATCTAGGGCCTGTATTGTTAAAATCGGCATAAACATCCCACCCATGTTCAGGGTTAAAATCATCTGCTCTTGATCGGGACTCTGTCAAGAGTTCGCGAGATTGCCGTCCTTGGGTTGGTGACGCTGCAGATCTGATATTTGTCGGTGAATAGCTGTCGTATTGTTGAGGAAATCCAGAACGACGGTCGGAGTCCATTCTGGAATTTTATTTATTTTTGGGGAAGTGAAAAGGTAAGGAGGGGTCGCGGTCAAAGGTGACGGTCATAGCCACCGGTAGCGTCGAATTTGAGCTCACTGATACGAGACACGATTATTAAGGTAGACTTGACTTTGAGTGAGAATAAGACTTTCTATAATTCTAATCTTGTGGTTCTGCGACCTCATCTATCTCGAGCATGGGCTCAAAGTCATCACCACCTTCTTCAAACTCCTCTTCCAGGTATTGACCGACCTCCTCACCACCCCACATATCTGCTCCCTCCTCTTCTTCTGCGGCAGGCTCGTCTGCTTCGGCCCCATTGTTGGCGGTGCCGCTCTCCTCGGGGAGGAAGAGTGGCTGGTCGGACAGTTTATCCTGTACCAATGCCAAAATTTGGTTACTCTTGTTTTCTATACGCGCTTCCATTTCTTCGACTATCTAGATGTCCAATCATCCCAAGTACGCGTGAATACGATGCTAGTTTGTCGAACTTGAGAATCGACTTACCACGTAAAGGTCCAGCACGCTTTGTGGACAGAGATTGATGATCTGAAGCTTCTCTGCTTTTGTCAAGCCATAACCTCGTAGGCCTTTGGTCAAGTGTGCGACAGACTCTTCGCTCTGTCTTGATGTAGGAAGATGCTCCCCACTCAAATATTGTAAGAGCTACAAAGACAACGTCTTCAGTTAGGGACGTGTTCTCGTTTTTTCGATGAAGGATGACTCACCTCGACTTGTATGGTTCTGACATTTTCTGCTACGTCCTCTGGTACGACATAATTAGGCCCCTTGTACTGGTCTTCGAGATTCTCCTCTTTCTTCGTTGCCATAAACGCGCGAGTTTGTTCTAGTTGTTTGCCTTCCATCTCTTTCAAGAGCGCATAAACCTCATAGTTGGAAAGAAACGCCGCTCTCGCTTTCAAGACCTAACTCGATCCGACTTTTAGTAACCAT